TTCTTGGATCGCCTCAACATATACCCAAGTTATCATGAGATACCAAAGTACCATCATGAATCCTTGGATACATGCTGTTTTTTGTTTCGGGTCGATGCACGCGAGCAAGCTCATGCGCACCTAACAACCTCGGAGTAGGCATCTCCGGGCACTTGGGCCGGAACCCAAGTGAGTAGTTCTTCATTCTTGAGAAAGATGTTTCGCGCTGCATTCACGTCGCGGTCGATCACAAGATTGCAGTGGTTGCAATCAAAGACTTTCTGACTCGTAATGCCGTAGTTGATTCTCCCACAGCACGAACACGTCTTCGTGGTATAATGCTCTTCACACTCGATCATCCTTCCTCCACTGCGTTCCATCTTATACGCAAGCATCATCTTGAACTTGTAGTGAGACCACGTGAGAATGGCTCGAGATGTCTTGCTTGAGATACGTTTTTGCCTGGAAGTCATATCAGATGTCTGGAACGAGGGAAGAAGAACTTGCTTGTAGTTCTTCGACAGCCAGCTGGAAACCTTGTGATGCATGTCAGCAATCATTGCTTTTACTCGATTGAACATCTTGGTCAATCGCTTACCCATACGATAACGCTTGCGTTTGTTGGTCTCCCTTGTACGTCTTGAGATCAAACGATCGATGGTAAGACATCTTCGGAAGATGTACTCGTTGGCATCATCCACTCCCAGTGTTAAGCCGTCTTGGTCGTACATGGTGATGAAACTGCGTACCCCCGGATCAATTGCGCACGTTCGAGTAGAAGTCGTTTGCTTGAAGACTTTCACTCGTGGAATACAGAGGTAGAATTTCTCATCTCTGGTTCGCAGGAGACGAACGGAGAACTGAAGGTCTGGCATCTTCTCCTTGATCAGGAATCCCTCATTCTTAGAGAATCCGAAGTATCTGGGTTTGAATTGAACGAGTCCGTTCGCAGACTTGATCCCTCTGTTTCGGAATTCAATCGAGGAAGAGTTATCTTTCTTCGACTTGAACCGGAGTTCTGGGAAAGAAGTCTTCTTGTCTTTCTTCTTGAGAGCTTTGAACAACGCTCTGGACGACTTTAACGCTTTGGTGAAATCGCGATAAGTAGAATCCATAACTTCTTCCGGGACCTCGAGATGGTATTCTGGGAGATAGTTTGCCAGTGAGTGTTTCTGGGAAATCGGACGATACTTTTGCGAAAGCTCGGAGAGCTTGAGCTTGTAGCAGTCTTCTCTCGAGGTTTCAACGAGCTTGTTGTAGTTTGCTCTATGCGTTCCGAACATCTTGTTGAGAAGAGTCTTCTGAGACTTTGTTGGATAAAGTCTGATCTTGATCACGCTATTGGGAGTTTCGCTGGGAGTGCTTGCTTCTGAAGACGGCTGAAAGCTTGGTCTGGATTCCTTCTCCACCACGTTATTGAGTTGAAACCATGACTTTTGCTTAATCCCCTTCGTTAGCACGCGAGCACGGTTGTCCTGGGCCGACGGAAGCCATACTTCTCCCGCCCGGTGCCCGACCGACGCCCTCCACCACTCTGGTCTTTCTCCCATGGGAGAAATTCAAGAATGAGTGGGGGTATTCTATATTACTTGATTATACTATCAATTCTGTATGTGGATTGCTAATCATTGTTTCATGGGTATCCACCGATACTGATGTTATAAATCTAAATATTGCCCAAGTAGCCCAATATATCATTCTTGATTGCAATAATGGCTAAAATATTTCACAAAAAATATTGCATGTTATAGTATTTCTATGTATAATTGCGAAAGTCCCGGCGGTATCGCGTTCAAACATATCATCAATGTTAAAGTCGTCTAGATCCCACATATCGCCGCGCTGCTTTGGCTTAACCTCTTGCCGCTTTGGTAGAGGCGTTGGTTCTTCACGAGATAGATCTTGATAAGCGCTTACAACATGGTTTAGCGTTTCTTCATAGTCATCATCTGGTATCAGCTCATTACTTAGCTTTTCAACATGCGAGTTTATCGTAGTAGCAGCATCATCTATAGCGCGGATACCCTTGCTGATGCGATTGCCAGTAGCATTATCGACGGTATCATATGCTTTGCTAGCAGCATCGCTGACGGCGTTTCCAACTTCTGTTGCTTTGCGCTTATCAGCATCGCTCAACTCTTGAGCGGCGACAGTGGCTTTTGCTTTCTGCTCATTTGTAAAGTTAGAGATTCTATAATTTACATCTGACACAGCCTCGTCAAGTTTATCCTCCGCTGCGTACTTCATGTTGCGATATCCTTGTTCAGCATTTGATTTTAGATCTCCCAGATGTTGAAGCAATGCGCCTTTTACAGTGTCGCTTAGTGCCTGCATGAATGAAACAGGCTCAGGCTGATCCTTTAGAGGAATCACAAGTGGTACGCTACTAACGCGAGCATCATTGATCAATCCGCAAAGGTTTGTACCGGCGTTATATGCTTCTGTGCTACTTTCGATGCAGCCGCGGTTGCGTTCCGGGTGTAGCTGAGCAGCAAACTTACCTTTTAGCTTAGGACCGTCGCACATACCATTACTAAACTTACTAAACTTAAAGTCGCCAGAAGGACACGAAGGACCGCTACCCTTAATACGCAGCCCCATATGCTGCGTCTTTCTATATACCTATCCGCCTCGGGCTGAAAGCATGATTATAATAGACAAAACGCCACCAAATGCGCCAAACCATACATAAGACTTTTCACCGAGTTTCCAAGCGGCGATAATGAATACAA